TTTTTTTTTTTTTTTTTTTTTGGCTGTTCATTAAGTTGACTCCTCCTTCACACAACGAACATCAAGATACGAAGAGAGAGATGCTATTGAGCGATAGTTAAACAACCAAGTCTCTATTGGTTTGCAAAGAGAGAGAGAGAGAGAGAGAGAGAGAGCGTCGATGAATATCATGGAAACAGCTATTAGGTATTGCAATTGTGGCTGCGATTATGACTGAATAGTTAATATTGAAATGATATATTTTGAAAGTGACGTATCAAGTAGGTTAAATATACCCTTTACAGTCATGATATATTGTGTAAACACACCCACACCCACATATATATGTACAAAATTGTATACCTAGTTAAGTACTCTCGAATAACCATTCAGCAAGAAATTGTTAGCTTAAAACATAAATGAAAAGTATAGTGCTACAATTACACTAATTTCTTCTTGAAGACACAAGGGAATATATTCATACAGAATACTATCGCTTATAATCGTTCTTAAATATTCAACATTGCAATAGTAGTAAGAAATATGCGTAAAACAAATACGGTAGACTTGAACGCTCATCATTTAATACAACAATTAAATCCAATATTTTAGAATCCATCTCGAATCAAATCCAACTACTACAACCTTCCCCCCTTTTTTTTCTTCTCTCTCTATAACTACATGATAATAGTAATTACGATTAATCTTAGTGATACCACATATACTACATACATTGAATAGATCACCTTGCTCGTTTGGCAGAGTTTACAATCATCTAAAAACAATAATTCAGCAAACAAAAATTGTGTGAATATTTCACATTATATCATTAGTGTCATCATCATCGTTATACAACTTCTATACTTCTCTGTTCGTATTATCCCGATATTTCTGCACTTAATGGATGTTTTTCGCTTTTTGTCGTTAAGTCTTCGCTTCATGCACTACTTATTATTGTTAGTAAAAACTGAAAAACTGAAAAAAATATCAAAACCGTGGAACTTTCTCACTTTCACTCTTTTTCTATCTCGATGTGGTTTAACAGTGAAAACCTAAAAAAGAGTGGAGTTTGACAATAGATAGACTGTTTTAAGAATAGTAATACTAATTAAAAAAATAAAATGAGACATCCTAAAATACAACAAAAAAAATTTAATATATAAAGATACCTCTTTTCGAATTAATTCATGTTCGACAATTGTATTATTCTCTTATCTTATACATTAATAATTTATATAAAAAGATCATTAAAGCAACAATTGTCTGTGTTAACTTATAGTTTCTCGACTTATCTTACACAACTTTTTCTTTTATAACTCACCCCTAATTATTTCATAATAATGGTTCAATCCGCTGTCTTAGGTTTCCCAAGAATTGGGCCAAACAGAGAATTAAAGAAGGCTACTGAAGCTTACTGGAATGGTAAGACCTCTGCCGAAGATCTATTAAAGGTCGGTAAGGAAATCAGAGAACAAAACTGGAAATTACAAAAGGAAGCTGGTGTCGATATCATTGCTTCTAATGATTTCTCGTTCTACGATCAAGTTCTAGATCTTTCTGTTTTATTCAATGTTATTCCAGATCGTTACACTAAGTACCAATTACCTCAATTAGATGTCTTATTCGCAATGGGTAGAGGTCTACAAAGAAAGGCTACTGGATCTGAACCAGCTGTTGATGTCACTGCTTTAGAGATGGTTAAATGGTTTGACTCTAACTACCATTATGTTAGACCAACTTTCGGTAAGAACTTGTCCTTCAAATTGAACGGTCAAAAGCCAGTCGATGAATTCTTAGAAGCTAAGGCTCTAGGTATTCAAACTAGACCTGTCTTAGTTGGTCCAGTTTCTTATCTATACTTAGGTAAGGCTGACAAAGATAACTTGGAATTAGACCCAATTTCTTTATTAGATCAATTATTACCTCTATACACTGATATTCTACAAAAATTAGCTGCCGCAGGTGCTACTGAAGTTCAATTAGATGAACCAACTCTAGTTTTAGATCTTCCAACTAACGTCCAAGCTGCCGTTAAGAAGGCTTATACTTATTTTGGTCAACAAGCTAACCTACCAAAGATCACTCTAGCTTCGTATTTCGGTACTGTCGTTCCAAACTTGGAATCATTAAAGGGTCTACCAGTCTCTGGTTTCCATTTCGATTTCGTTAGAGCCCCAGAACAATTCAACGACGTCGTATCTGCCATTGGTCCAAACCAAACTCTATCTGTCGGTATTGTCGATGGTAGAAACATCTGGAAGAACAACTTCACGAAGTCTTCTGCGTTTGTTCAACAAGCTATTGCTAAATTAGGTGCCGACAGAGTTATTGTCGCTACTTCTTCCTCTTTATTGCACACTCCAGTTGATTTGGAAAATGAATCTAAGTTGGATGCTGAACTAAAAAACTACTTCTCTTTCGCTACTCAAAAGTTAGGTGAAGTTGTTACTATTGCTAAGAATGTATCCGGTCAAGATGTTTCTGCTGCCCTACAAGCAAACTCTGCCGCTATTGCCGCTAGATCCGCTTCTTCCTTCATTAATGATCAAGCTGTTAAGGACAGAGTTTCCTCAATTGATGCTAACATGTCTACCAGAGCTGCTCCATTCCCACAAAGACTTGCTGAACAACAACCAGTCTTCAAGTTGCCATTGTTCCCAACTACTACTATTGGTTCCTTCCCCCAAACTAAAGACATTAGAATCAACAGAAACAAATTCAACAAGGGTCAATTATCTGCTGAAGAATATGAAAAGTTTATTAACTCTGAAATTGAAAGAGTCATCAGATTCCAAGAAGAAATCGATCTAGATGTGCTAGTTCACGGTGAACCAGAAAGAAACGATATGGTTCAATATTTCGGTGAACAACTAAAGGGTTACGCTTTCACTACAAACGGTTGGGTTCAATCTTACGGTTCTAGATACGTTAGACCACCTATCATTGTTGGTGATCTATCCAGACCAAAGGCTATGTCTGTCAAGGAATCTGTCTACGCTCAATCTATCACCAAGAAGCATGTCAAGGGTATGTTAACTGGTCCAATCACCTGTCTAAGATGGTCTTTCCCAAGAGATGACATTGACCAACAAACCCAAGCTTACCAATTGGCTTTAGCTCTAAGAGATGAAGTTAACGATCTAGAAGCTGCTGGCATCAAGATTATCCAAGTCGATGAACCTGCTATTAGAGAAGGTCTACCACTAAGAGCTGGTACCGAAAGATCTGCTTACCAAGTTTGGGCTGCTGAAGCTTTCAGAGTTGCTACATCCGGTGTTTCTAACAAGACCCAAATTCATTCTCATTTCTGTTACTCTGATTTGGATCCAAACCATATTAAGGCTCTAGATGCCGATGTTGTCTCTATCGAATTCTCCAAGAAGGACGATGCTAACTACATTGCTGAATTCAAGGACTATCCAAATCATATTGGTCTAGGTCTATTCGATATTCACTCTCCAAGAGTTCCATCTACCGAAGAATTTATCACCAAGATTGAAGCCATTCTAAAGACCTACCCAGCTGAAAAGTTCTGGGTTAACCCAGATTGTGGTTTGAAGACCAGAGGTTGGGATGAAACTAGAGAATCATTGACTCATATGGTTGAAGCTGCCAAGTACTTCCGTAAGCAATACCAAAAATAAACTTATTCATAGTTTATAGTCGGTTTTAGATTTTGCTAAAGTTTCTAGCTAACTTCACAACATCTCTTTCTTTCATTTTTTTTTCTCATTATTTCTATCATCTTAACTTATTGATATAGAGGGGCAGGGGCTACTTTATTCAACATTTGTGGTTTATTTTTTTTATTTATCTTTCTATAGCATTTCCCAATAATTTATATTTATACATAGTATATAAATCTTGTATATTTTAACGTATTCAACATTCGTTTATTTAAAACAGTACTAAAGTTTCCAAAACAACAATTGATAGTTTAAAAAGGAAATACTCTGTAGAATAATCCCAACAACCTCACAATAACTTATTCGAAGATTCGTAACTCTTTGTAATGATATATATATATATTTACTAAAATAAATGAATAATGAAATAGGTAATTAAGTAGGAAACTTAAAGGTCCCTCTAATAATTCTATTTAAAAGATTAGACGGTCCCTACTTTAGATGCCCAAATTTCTTCAGCTTGAACAATCGTACTATGATTAGCTAACATTTTGTTCATAGTTTCCACGTATTCGTCATATTCATCAGAATCAAACACGATACCACCACCAGCTTGAAGGTAAGCAACACCATCTCTATAAACCATTGTCCGTAGTGCGATACATGTGTTCATTGTCTTTTGATCGTAAGACCAATTACCTACGGCACCTGCATAAACACCACGTCTTTCACCTTCTAATTCCGCAATCAATTCCATTGCTTTCACCTTTGGAGCACCACTGACAGTACCTGCTGGGAAGATTGATCTAAATGCATCGAAACATGACATTTCTGGTCTCAAAGTACCACTAACTTGAGATACTAAATGTTGTACATGAGAGAATTTTTGAACAGTTAATAATTTATCTACTTTTGTAGATAATGGATCACAAACTCTATTGATATCATTTCTTGCTAAATCCACCAACATAATATGTTCAGCACGATCCTTCAAAGAACCATATAATTCAGATGCTAATTGATCATCTTCTTCTGCAGTCTTCCCACGTTTTATTGTCCCTGCAATTGGATGTGTGATGATTTTATTTTTGTTATCTGCACTACATAATAATTCAGGTGAAGCACCAATAATTTGGAAATCCAAACAATCAATATAAAATAAGTATGGAGATGGATTTACAGTTCTCAAATGACGATAAATGTTGAAAGGATGTAATGAGGTAGGTCTTGCAACTCTTTGAGATGGTACAGCTTGAATTATATCACCTTTTTTAATGTGATCTTTCAAAGTACGGACATGACCTTCATAACCTTCTTGACCAATATTTGATGTGAAAGTTTGGCCCAATTTAATTGGTGGTTGTTCTGGATAATCAATTGGAGTCGAATTATCGGTCAATTTATTATAAATTTCAGAAATAATCTTTTGAGCATGAATATAACCTTCTTCTAAAGTAGTTTCTTTAGTATTAATATTATGAATGATTTGAAATCTTTGGAAAACATAATCGAAGGCAATGATAGTATCACAAAGCATCAAATAAGCTTCAGGAACTTTTAATACATCTTTCAAAGGTCTTTTAGTCTTTGGCTCGAAATAACGAACACAATCATAAGATATATAACCAATAGCACCACCACTCAATTTTGGTAGACCTGGAACATTTTCAGCTAATTTTGTTTTATTCAATTCATCTTGTAATAAAGTGACAGGATCTTGTTCTAAGGATTCTGTTGGGCCAGTCTTAATAATCTTTCTTGGAGAGAGGCCAATAAATGAATAACGATCCAATTCGTTATTAGTCTTTGCACCTTCTAATAAGAATGATTCTGTACGTTTTTTATTGTTTAAATCTGCTAGTTTCAAATAGGCTACATGTGGAGTCAATTCCAAAGATGGTAAGAATGCGTACACTGGGTACATGTTAATATCTTCATCATTATTTTCAATGACTAGTTGTTTCAAAACGTCAAGTTCCGGTTGGAATTTGATCTGAGACGACATCTTTCTCTTTCTCTCTTTGTATATATATATATATTTGTGTGTGTGTATTGGTAAATCTATACTAATGGTACAAATTAAATGCAAGCAATCATATGTATATTTAAGATACTACTCTCCTCTTTTAAATAAATTATAAACGTCACTTATTATATAATATCTTCTATTAAAAAAGTGAAAAAAAAACAGATAATTTTTGACTCATCGAGAGGGAGGCCTTGCCAATTTCCAGTGTGTGAATGAATGCAAATAGCTAACTTGCTATAAGCTGGGGAGTGAATGAATGAATAAAATATGGCGATAAAATTTCCAGCGAAAGAGAAAACGGCGAGAGAAAAGACGAAAATAATGAATACTTCAGTCGTACGCCGTGACAACAGGTGTCAGGGTAATGCACGCCCAATATTAGCATTAATAATAGCATTACGTGGGGTATATACGTTGTATACATGTAGATATAAGATACTAGCACACAAGTATGTCGTCAATATGATGGAATATGAGCTCCAGGTATCGTAGATATAGATATATATATATATGAGATATGAGATATGATACTTGGTGTTCTACCACACACCCAATTTAATCAACAACGAAAATTTTGTTTTGTTTTTCTTCTCTAGTACCAACCAGCGAGAGTGGGCGAGAGTGGGAGAGAGACAGAAAGAGAGAGCGAGAGAAAGAATTAGGCAGACCTTGAGAATCTTGCGTTTTGGTCTGGAGTAGATTCTATCTTTTGTTTAGTTTTGTAAAATACTGTAACCATGGTTAGATTTATTAGTTCTAGAGGGAAGTAGTACTCATCTGACAATTGATGTATATATATTAGCTTATTAATTTGTTTAGTCTATAAACTTGGTATTTGTAATTTGTTATCTACACTAAAATAAACAAATATATACATACAAACACGTTTGTGAGAGAAGACAAAGAAACTAAAAAAAAATATGGGTCAGATACTTTCAAATCCTGTGATAGATAAAGAACATCATTCCGGTGCTGATACTTTATCTGCATTTGGGTTATGTGCTATGCAAGGTTGGAGAATGTCTATGGAGGATTCTCATATCGTAGAATTAAATACATTGTCAGAAGATGATACAAGAGACCATATTGCATTATATAGTATCTTTGACGGCCATGGTGGCTCTGCTGTTGCACAATTTGCTGGTAATAAAATGACACAAATCTTTCAAAGCCAAAAAAGTTTTAAAGAAAATAAATTAAGTCAATTATTTATCGATACTTATCTTGAAACTGATCAAGCTATATTAAAGGATCCTGTTTTACAAAATGACCATAGTGGTTGTACTGCAACTTCTTTATTAATCTCAAAAAAACAAAATAAAATTGTTTGTGGTAATTCTGGTGATTCTCGTACTGTGTTATCCACTTCAGGTAATGCTAAAGCTTTATCATATGATCACAAACCTACTTTAATCTCTGAAAGATCTCGTATTTATGCCGCTGATGGTTTTGTTGAAATGGATCGTGTCAATGGGAATTTAGCATTATCTCGTGCTATTGGTGATTTTGAATTTAAAAAAAATGATAAATTAGGCCCTCATGAACAAGTTGTCACTTGTGTTCCTGATATATTTGAACATCAATTGAATTATGAGAATGATGAATTTGTCATTTTAGCTTGTGATGGTATTTGGGATTGTCTTTCTTCTCAAGAATGTGTAGATTTAGTACTTCATGGGATTAACCTTGGTGATATGTCATTAAATGATATTGCATCAAGAATCGTCGATGTTTGTTGTTCTCCAACTACTGAAGGGACAGGGATTGGTTGCGATAACATGAGTATTACAATTGTTGCATTATTAAAGAATGAAGAAACCGTTGAACAATGGTTTGATAGAATAAGAGCAAAGAATCATACTAGACCAATCTCTTTTGCTTTAAAGAGAAAAGTCATATATAGTTATTTTGAATTCCCAGAAGATGAAACTCATATATTTGATACCACTACAAAGAAACCACAAGAACGTTTCAATAGAGGTAATAATCAAAATGATATTGATAACGAGAATGCAATGGAAGTTGATGACACTGATGCAGATGAAGAAAATAACGGTAGAGCTGTTGGCGCTGCTGGAGGTCCATCGTTGAATGGATTCCCTTTGGAAGCCCTATTAGGTAGTGGGATCACCATATCTCAAGGCCCAGATAATACCCCATACTTGAGTGGGAATCTAAGTGATATGTTAGCATCGTTCAGAAACCATTACGCCACTGGTTCTACTGCAACATCATCAATTGAAAATGAGGAAGAAGAAGAAGAAGATAACAATAATAATGATGATGAAGATGTGCCAATGAATGCAAATGATAATGTTGATGATGAACCATCTACTTCAAAATGATAACAAGAATTTAAAGAGAAAATTAAAAACTATGTATATTTACTTTTTTTTTTAGTTCTTCTCATTTAGAAAAAATTATTATTGTACTATTATTAAATTACAACCAAATAATCATCTCTCTCAATTTCCATCTTTTTTTTACTCTAATCCCTCC